TTATCATTATTTTGATACTTACAAGATCAGTCAACTTTATGGTTAAAAAACCAACAATAGTTGAATTCCTACCAGAACTGTCCTTTATATCTTTTCCATTGACTAGAAACCAGGAATCTTGAGTAGAAATTGAGGTCCATTTTTTCCTTTTAGGGTCTGATAGTTAATGGACACTACAGCTTGACAGTGCAACAGCCATTGTGGGGTGGGGAGCACACCTGCTATTACAGGGAAATTGTCTAACTGTTCAGATGCCGAACAGAATGGATTTACAGCTTGTATTTACCCCATGCTAATGAAGGTCCCATTAATGCTTGATATGTTTGACGGAGCAGGATATTCCTTGTAGAGGAATCGACTTGGTGCCACAGAAATGGTTCGTGGAGTTGCGATTGACTGCTCTTAAAACATGCAAACCAAAGTACCTTTCCACATAAGGTGCTTGTCTGAGTAAAAGGTTTAAAACGCTACTGCTTTCAGTATTGCTTAGTGCCCCTAACATGTCTGGTGTGCCTTATGCCTTACTTTTAGATGAAGATTTTATGAACTGTTTACAAGATGTTTTACAGCAGGACCAGGTATACTGTATGCAGTGGTCTTCTGCAGTACTTTGGTAAAATTCCATTTCCTTTTTAAAAGTACTAGTGTCTGTCATACGAGCTGACTCCTTATTGCAGTGATCTCCTTTTAGAGAGTCAAACTCTGAATACGTTGGAGTGAGATTGTGGAATGCTGCTTTGTTTTATCTCCCATTTAACCCTTTATTCTGTACCAGATATGAACGTGCATGTTCAGGAAAATTATTGCACTAAATTTTTGTGTAGTTGTAGTTAAGTGCCAAAATGCTGGCGACCTCGAAAGAAGGAATAGAATTCTACGCTCCTTAGTACTGCAGTATGTCCTATGGGCTTTAAGAGTTTAGGAGTTTTGCAAATTAGTAACCTACTAAAAGGTAGCTGCATATTCGTAGAGCTTCCTTTGCGTTCCGACTTGTTTTGTACTTCCAGAAAAGCTTTGCTACATACAAATTGATACGTAGTTAACAGACCTGTGACTTTTTTCATTATAGCTGAACTTCACTGTTCAGGTCTGTGGGAGCATCCTTTCTATTGAATCACTGTGCAAGATCACGTTTCTTTTAGTGTTTGCTGTTTGAGACAGAACTCTGTACCCTCCAACTCTGCATCTTGGTTAATGGGACACTGTCGGCTATTTTTTCTTTAATACTCTAAAGTGCCTAGCACACTTTTGACGCTATATGAAAATACCTTCTTAGAAGTTGCATTCATAGTTTATTTTTTGTGTAGTGCTGCACTAGCCAGCATGGCTGTTTTTTGGCTTACTCCTTTGTGCACAGGTACCATTACTGTAAGCAGGAACGGTCTCATCTCTGGGAATTTTTTTTCCTTAACTAGAGTCCCCACAAATACCTTTTGGTGTCACACAGAATTGGTCTCCTAAAAAGGTATCGCTTATCCCTAGATCAGTGGAGCTTAAAAAAGAAATTGTCTTCAAGTGACCAGAAGACTTCTTACAGTCTTAAAAACATGGACCTGAACTGGTTGAAAGTGTCCCACCTGAACAGTATACTTTATAATAAAGTATCCTCCAGAGTGCTGTCCCAGGTTTCCTACCTGTGTGGGAGATATGCAGTGGTCTTCTTAATTGAGAAGAAATGCCTTACTCAGCTGTGGCTATTTCAAAGATAAATTTAAATTTGTCAGTTCCAAAAGCATATCTAACTTGGGATTTACCACTGTTACAGAGAGAAAAGTTATGTACTTTGTCAGATTTCATAGCTAAGACAAAATGCAGATACTTAATAAGCTTCCAGCTCTGTCAAGACGCAGGCTAACAGTCTAAACCTGTCCTTGTTTTACTTCCAAACAGCAGCAGTGAAACACGTGTCACTTGAGCACTAACGCAGGTTGCACGAGTGACTAACGATGAGGGAATGCCTAACTCCTGGCTTCCGAAACGATTTCCGAGGTGATTGTATATTAAATACATATCAGCGTTGTCATTTTAATTCCCTCACTGAATGCAGCCCCAGTTGGTGAATCTTAAAAATGGCTTAATCAGACTAGGCTTGCTCAGATATCAATATTATTCGAATTTGCTGTCAAACTTGCAGGTTCCTAGGTGATAAGGTGCAACCATTTATAGTTATAAATAAATCTTCAGGACACCAGAGTAAAACAGCCCAAGACTTTTATTTTGATTTGAAACTATTAGCCATAAAGCAGAGCATATGGATGGCTCTTCTTGGCTTTTGATGGCAGTATGCAATTTGTATTGTATGTGTCTTTTAATATATATGTATATATATATGAACTCAGTCTGTCCAAAGTATATGTTATACTTGTTTTTAGATTATGGTGCAACTGACTATATTGATATATTATTTATTGAGTGCTGAATCACCATCTTACTGGTGATAAATCTTGCATATTATACAGGAGTGCAATGTATATTCCTTTAGATTGCTGAGGCTTGATTGCTGTGATAACAAAAAATGCCCTGAAAAGTATTTATGAACGGCCCCAACATACAGAGAGTCAGTACTTTATGAAAATAATGTAGTGCTTGCCTGGGGCAAGTAAAATAAAGCCGTAGGCAGATAATTATGTAGTTTGCCAAAATGGGAAACTAGTGGAAAGAGAGACTACCTTTGCTGTATTTAATGTTTCATTTACCTAACAGATATTTACTGTCACTGCAGTGTTTATATTAAGGCAGATACAAAAGGGCCTGAGCAAGTCAAGTTTGAATTGCCCATTGGGGAGTGAGCAACTTCCAAATTATTAGATTCCTGACAAATATTGTGGTCAGGATTTAAATTGCTTTGTCTAATGAATCAGTGTTCCGGAAAACTGTGTATTTCCGAGCAACAAAGTTAATGCTAGATATCTGTAAATGTAAAGAGTAGCCAAAGCTTTTTGCTAGCCAACTCAGACCAACGCAGAGCTATTCCAGGAGACAGATTTCCCAAGCGTGGCAGTTACGTGAGCTCAAGCAATCAGGGAATCGTGTTGTATGTCTGACTCCATTAGTTTTGAAGGAATTGGTCTCCGATGCCACTTGAAAATAGCGGTGTTGGGGTGGGGGGAGGCAGGGAGGGGAGGGTTAGCTCTAAAGTAAAGCAGCTGCTGCCTCAGCGTGAGCGCGGCGGGGCGACAGCTCTGCCCTGCGGCGGAGCCCTCCCCGAGGCAGCGTTCGCTCTTCGCTCGCAGCCGGTGCTCGCCTGGGTTGCGGTTGAATACGCTGCGCTGAGCAACGTGAAACGCTGCGTTACAGCGTAGTTTCGATAGGCTATCTTTATGTAAATGCTTTACCTATTTTAATTTCATCTGGAAACTGGGTAGAAACGTATCCATTCCTGTTGTAACTCTCCCCGTTTGCTAAGGGAGCCGAGGCGGGCGAACGGGACCGCGGGGTTCCCGCCCGTCCGGTTTTACGTGCGGCCCTGAGGAACGATGCAGTCGGGCGCGCAGTACTTCTGCAGCCTTTGGTTTTGGCTGCATTGGCATTATACATCTGAAAACTCAACTCTAAGGACCAGGCATGACTTTTGCAAGCACAGTTACTGACATTTGTATCTGGTCCCCCTTTTAAATTGTTTTAAGAAATTTTGTATATGGAGGATAAAGTGCTTATATATTTATTAAAAATCCTTTATCTTATTTGAAATTATTATTTGGTGAAGAAGGGTTTTTCTTTTGGGGAGGGTTTGTGGGTGGGGGAAGGTAACTTTTAAGCTGTCACTTATAAATGAAGCCCTTAATAATCACACAGAAAGGTACTGTTAGTAACTAATGGGATGTCTCTGTTTTATGCTTTGTACATGACAAGTCCATGTGTTACATTTTGTTTCTATCAAAATATTTAGGCATCTGTCTTCAACCAAAACCTAAAAAAAAAAAACACAACTGTGATTTTATTTGTTGCAATACATTTGAAATTTCAAAGGGTACTTTGGGGCTCAAAATTAGGATTTCTAAGTCAGTATGTGCATTTCACGTAATAAAGCTGTTAATGGTGAGCAAAGTATTATATACTAACTAGATTTTTTCCACATCTGTATAGTATATTCTATGTATTTTGTGGTATTGAGATTATAGAAAGTTTAGTGTCTGAAACATGCGTTTAATGTGTATTTTTAAACAAATTTATGGCAATTAAAATATTTGGAGAAAAGGGTATCACATTTCAATTTGTAAAGATCTTTTTAACTACTGTGTCATTAAAATGCTTTGTACAATGCAAAACTGTAACTGGAGAAACTAAGTTTAATAAATATCAAATAGATTTTTCTGTATTAAATTTTAAAAACACTGTGCTCGTATCTCTCAGATGGGCTTTCTCCTCAGTGGTATTGCATTTTTTAAGCAGGCTTTTCGGGTCCTAATGCTCTATGTCTGACAAAGACAAATAGCATTCAGCATTGAGGCGTCCCAGGCCTGTTAACGCTTGTCTAATCTGAAGTGGCTCAGTTTCTGCCAGTCCTCCTAGTTAACATGCCTCTCCTCAAAATCGGATTTCGATCAAATTGTTTTAAAATAATAAGCGTTTCAGTGAAAAAAAGTCACCGTATGAATTTTACTTAAGCAAATTTGAGTAGAAGTAATTAAAAGTAATTAAACGTTTTTCCTTTCCAGCTTCCCCTGATATATTTGGAATAGTGAAAGCGCTGTCAGTATCGTTTTCAGTTTATTCCCTCTTTTCTTTCTAAGAGGCCCTTATGCGAAGCACTGTTAAGATTGCAGCTGTGGAAGGTGACAGTCAGTGAGATGGAGGCACGGCCTGCCTCACGCCCTTGCCAGGTTGAGGGATAAATGTCTAAAGTCCAGTCAGCGATACGCACTTCTCTTTGAAATGTCTGATGTGAACTCGCATACACGTTGCTAACAGGACGCAAGGAAAACCAAGGTTATTTGCCGAATATAAATTTTTAATTCGCACTTACAAAAATATGAACAGTTACAAAAACAAAGCGAGCATGAGGTGCAGAATCCTTTTATTGAGGTTGGCAAAAGAGTCATCCTGAAGTGTGTGCTGCAGAGACCCAGCTTGAGTTCGTACATGCTCTCAAGCTCTTTTTGAAGTCCTTCTATCAGTTGATATCACAGTGTTAAATATACTTAATTGGTTGATTCAGTGTCCTAGCTTTTGAACAGTCAATAATAAATATTGCGCGAGTAGAGCGGAGCAGGGTCAGCAGTAACAGTGACGGATGTTCTTAATAGCAACAGGTCACTCAGAGGCTGTTCTAAGGAAACAGCGGTTCTTCCTGAAAAAGGAAAGAGCATCAGGCACCGAAGGCGCAAGCCTGGCTGTTGTGTAGGGCTCAGACAGGTGGGTATATGCTTATCAGTGCACATCTTACTCAGCTGCTACAGCAGAGCTCCTCCTCAGCTCATGTAGCAGCACACGTTGTATTCAGCTCCTTTTAACTTGGTTCAGTTTGCCTTGATTCATTTTCTGCTCTTTACATAGTAACTCCAAAATCCTTGTGACCCAGGGCTATATAGTCAGGCTGTGTTGTACAACTCATACGCAATGGAAATCCCTTTCTGTCTCTTACAACTGCTGTTACAGTTCACCCAGGATAATCAGCAGACAAATTGATATCTCTGCATGTACAATAGCAGCTTAGCTGCCATTTTTGGTTATAGGTAAATATAACAGGAAATGGTATTTATTCTACCCTTTTTCCAATTGCTTTCTGGTATGAATACAACAGGTGCCACACAATCAGCTTTTAGTCACTAAATAGTAATTTGGTTAGCTGATCATTTTTTGTTTATACCTAGTTGGACAATTTGCTTGTCTAACGTCCCTGAGGACTAATGAATATTTGATTTTGATATTTTAGTGCTCTCAAACTATGAATTTAAGTAGTCACCTAAAGTGATTACTTTAGGGTGAGATACTCCTTTTAAATAATACATGCTTTAAAATGAACAGTGTTGGCTTTAAGAAGGATTAAATTTAAGGCTTCTAAGTAGTTACTTGAAAGCTATCCAGAATCCTATATTCTCTTTTGAAAAGCTAGGTTATTTAGGGTTGCAGTGGAAAGGACTAAGGCTGGTGATCAAGGGCCCTTGGACTCTGCTCTGTGCACTGTTTGCGTTGCTTACAAAAGAGGTCTAAATTTGTTGCTCCATCCCTTCCTCCAGCTATCTTTCTCCAGATCAGAATTAGTTCCACATCTGGACTGGGTGTCAGGAAAAGGGTACGCACTTCCTCTGCATAATACAGTATCAAGTGTCCCAGGCCTTAACACAGATGAGGATTAGTGAAGCTACCTGCATAGCATTGTAATGCATTCACTGTTATCCCTGCAGGAGGCACCAATGGGTCTGAGCGTGACCCCTCTCCAGAAGGGCGTCATCCGCCTCTGTCGTGTTCGCTGAGGCTGCGGCTGGCGCAAGGAAGCGCAGTGTGTCTGAAACAGAGTTGAAGTGCAACGGTCAGGAACGTGCGGCAGCTGTCAGCAGCTCATTCCGATGCTGAGCTCAGTAATCTTAAAAACTCTCAGCAAAGGACTTTAAATCTTTCTCCTTGCTCTCGGATCATAGCAGTCTCAAAGTATGATTGCTTGTATTTTAACCCTAAAAAAATATAAGTTAAATGTAGAAATTAACTAAGTTTTTTAGCCTTCTCGGGAGGCCCGGCAGCATTACTTGGTGATTTATGTCTCAGAGTAAGCCAGTGTTCGCTAGGCGGTTACTCTACTTCTTCAGGACTGCTGGCCCTTATGGAAGAGCTCTGCTGTCACCTCTAACTCCTGCCAGTTATTCTCGTTTGTGAAAATCATAACCCTTTTTATTAACTGCCTGACCACTTCAATTAGCACTTTAGTTATCTGACTTACCTGGCTGAGCAGCAACGAACAGAGTAAAAAAACAGCCATGGCTTTCAAACAGTGCATCTTCACAGTATGGGCGGCCGCTTCGAGCATAGGACCAGTCTTGGGCGGAGGAGGTCCCAAATAAAACTTAGGAGCTTCAGCTTGATTTTTATAGGCTTCATTCTCTTATCGTTGCCTCAGCTGTCAGTCATCACAGGGACAAAGTTCATTTCAGAGCAAGGAAGAATTACCAAGTTAGCATCTACTAAAGTGCTCTGGTTCAAGGCCTATCTAGCTAGCTAATGATTTACTTTCCTTCCACTCGTACTTTGTCGAGTCAGCTTACCAGATGTGCCAACTGCTCCTTTTTTAAAACCTAACATGTTACCAGAACTGCATTGTGTATGTGCATGCAAGATGGCAGGTGGCCCATAGTATTATGGTAAAGATCAAAAGCCATAACCTTATTTAACTTTTGTGACGCTTGCAGTATATGCAGCTTTGAGTTTGTCAGCTCAAAGAAGACTAGAAGAACCGTAGAAGACTGCGGTTTCTTTACAGGAGCCTTCTCTGGTGTAGTCTGCCTTTGTATCTTGCAGTGCAGCTCATGATTCTGAAAGAAGCCAGCAACAACTCCCATTGAAGTGGACAGGCAGTTTGTAATTTGCTTTGAGCTCTTAGTATTTATTTCCAGGTTGAAAAGATAAGAGACTGCAGCAGTCAAGGGAAAAAGAAGTTGAAATGATTTTTCTATTACTTCTTATCTAAAATCCTCTCATCTTGGAAACATAAGGACAAGCGTGAGAAGCAGATATCTAAGATCAGTAGCCTGAAAATGCATTCCTTGCTTGCACTCGTTCCTCCTTGTGTGCGCTGACTCCCAAATTGGTCTGACTCCCAACTGTTCCCCTGTAGGCTACTTCTCTCCAGTGAAAGATGGCTGAGATTGCAGAAAATATCATAATAAAGAGAATATCGGTTATTCCTGTCAAGTACTATGTGTAGGTTGCACAGCACACTTTAAGTTCCTTCAAAGAGAAAGCTACTGCATAAAATAATAAACTGTGATTTAGCTCAACTGTAAATACAAATCTGGATACTAGAAGCTACGATTTTCTGTGATTGCTTAATAAGGACGAATAAGTGCCAGCGTGGAAGACAAGTTACTTAGATTAAGATAATGCTGTGTTGTCAGATTTCCTGCCTACCAGGTGATTGATTACCCCTTAGCCCAAATTTCACTGGGATTAAATAAAAGCCCTTTGCAGCATATTGTCTACAACATACTACTGGAAGATTTGTTCCTTCCCTTGGGTTTGTCCCATATTCTTTCCTCTTCCCTGTTTATCTTTTTTCCTGTGAACAAGAATCAGAACCCTTCTGTATTTCCCATTCCCGCATCTTAGGCGGAGAAGAAAATGAGGTAGTAATCATGGCAGATCAAATAGCTGAACTTACAAGTTTCTTTTGCAGTTGGCTGTGAATTTCTCAGTTGTTTAATCCTCGGAGTCATTTCCTTCTGTACATGCATCTAAGTTCTAATTTCTGCAGTTTCCACTAGGCACTATCATAGAACAGAGATGGGCAACTGTAATCTTGACTTCACCGGTGGAGCACAGGATTTGAAAAGGCAGCTGTAGTGTCAGTTCTGATAGTAGTGCCCTCTGCGAGTCATTGTTTCTCATCCTTTTTTTTCTTTTTGGCTAGGTAACGCTAGCTCTGTGAAGATGTGGCAAAAGCTTAGTTGTTAAGTTGCTGGGAAAATCTGGCCTCCTAGGTTACTAATAGCATCAGTTTGCTGTTGCACATCCCTTTCAGGAAACCAGTTTCTAGGCCAGGAAGCAGCAGTCTGTTTACTCTGTGCAAGAAAGTAAGAAGCTGTAATTATGCTTTGTTTCCATGTGTGCTAATCCAGCACATCCTGGCTGTCGTATGTGCAAAGCAGGTCGAAAGCAACAGCGGAGATGTAGCTTCTAAAAATTTTGCCAGAAGTTGTTGTTCTCTCTGTTGCCACTGTAACATTTTGCAAAGGGAGAACAGAACTGACTGAAAATTTTTCAAACACTTTCAGATTCTAAAATACCCACCAGTCAATCTTGCAAATGACACATGTCCAGCAGGAGCCATTGCTGCTACCGTTCAGAGAAATTCCAGGTTTTGCATCCTGCCCCCTGCCCAGCAGGCTGGAGCTGGCAGCAGAAGCCAGCTCAGCAGTATTGCGACACTGCCTGTGGGAGCTAGGCAGGAGCGGGCCCACCCTGCCTGCTGCCTCACCGCTGCGATTGCGCTGGGGTGGGATGGTCAGCTAGAGCCCAGGACAGCGGAGCTGCTGCGCTGCTGTAGGTGAACTGCCACCAGCGTCAGTCCATCTGAACATGCCGCGTTGTTTACACAAGTCTAGCAGCTGGTTCACAGATAGTTCAGCTGTCTGTGCACAGGGGCAGAGACCTCATACGAAAGCCTGGGATGAGCTGCTCGCTTTCAACAGAATTGCTGAGACGGAATCATTTTAAAAGAAGTATTTACTGAAGCCACCACTGTAACAGTTTACACGTGCTATCATCTGGGCTCCAAATCAGCTGCTGTGGCTGCTTATTGTGCCTGTATTAGTAGGATTCAGTAAGAGTTTTGAAATAAGTGTGCCTCCAGATCTTTTTGCCAAGTCACAATTGTAATAACCAGTTGAATGCTGCCTTCTTGCTTGAGCTGCCAAGAACATATCAGTAATCTTAAAGAGCTAAATTTGAGTATATAATATTTTCTGGCACCACTTGCAGCACTGGATGTCTGTTTCATGTAGCACTGGTTAGCCTGTTTATGCTAACCTCCCACCATACTTAGAGTAAACACAAAAGCAGCAGGAGCATCCATAGGACTGCATTTAGATCAGGCTAAGCATTCAAATATAAGATTTCCATACGCGCCCACCCCCAACTTCCTGCAGCTTTGTCTACGTGACAGCCCCATGAGCCCGGGATACATTGACAGAGAGAACCTTCACTCCCTCTCTGTGGATAAAATATGCCATGCGCAAATCTCCACTACCAGCTGGGGAACAGCATGACAGGGAGATAAACATGTTACCTTGCTTGATGCAAGAGCTTAAAGATAGTCAGCTCAAGACAGAAAGGGAAAAAAAAAAAGATAAAGGAACTAGCCCAGAGTTCTGGACTTTTGAACAGCAAAGCTTTTTTATGTGCTTAGAGCCACTGGTTCAATTTCCTAGTCACATATTACAAAAAAAAAAAAAAAAGAAAATAGAGAACACTAGTAATAGATTAGTGGAAAGCTCATTTGGCAAAAGGAAAACTTACCAAAAATAATTGTTTTACACAAAGTTATTTAAATCATTTTCAGATGCTAGAACAACCAATTCTCCTGGTAGTTTGCAAAAAGAAACTTTTAATCCAGCTTGTTACAACACTCAGACATCAGAATTGCAGTTAAGCATCTGATTAACATTAATAAATACACTATTCAAGTAACTGTCTAAGAGGGTCAATGTTCACATTCTATTCAGAGCCATCAGCCAGTTCATGCTATTCTTGGTCAATATCAGATAGACTATTTGTTTTTCCACAGAGATCAAGGCTAGAATATGTCCTATTTAAAGGAAAGAGGAAAAAGAAATGATCAGCAATGGAATGATAATGGGCTCAGTGAGCTTATCTCTGAGCCATTACTTCAAATTATCTATAGCTGAAGACAGCCCTCGCTACGCTAGTTATACTGAGAGATGTTTCAAAGAAGCACAAGCCAAAAAGGCTGGAAATGCTCTGAACTGAAAGGTTTGAGCGTACAGAATTTTAGCCCAACTGTCATTCTGTACAGAGTGAACCAGACCAATGTTTGATGCCATTCACCTTAAACATTTCCAGACACTAATTGCACGCAAAGTCAGCAAACAGAGTTAGAGTTTATTAGACAAGACTTATCTCCCTGTTAATACCCTTTTTTAGTCACGTGAACACACTCTGTAACAAGAAGGTGATAATACAGGGAGGCAGCATCTCCACAATAACTTGTTTACTGGTCGTTTTCATAGTCAGCAGGGTTCTTCCTCTTCAGTCTCTCAAACTCTTGCATCCCCCAGGAGTAAAGGAGATAGGCTCCCATAAAGGCTGAAAATAAAAGAAAAATTAGAAGCTGCACTGCACCAACCAGCAGAGGGGCCCGAGTTAGCGGCCTTTACGCCGCTCCTGGGACGAGGGAACGCTATGCGAGGTGCTCCAGCTGCCGGCGGCGGGCGCCCTTGGCAGCCCCTCGGTGTCCTTGGAAGCTGCAGGCGCCCTGCCAGCCCCGGCCATCTCCTGTCCCCGAAACCGCGGGGCCCA